TCTTTCCCTATTGTTCCTTTCTGTCACCTGGCTCTAGGATAATACATGTTTGATTTGTATCCATTTTCATGCATTTCTTTAGGTACTTGGTAGATTTAGGTCAAACTGGTTAACTATCTCCTTCATTTTTACATTCTTTAAAAAATGAAAATAGTTTTTAAATGGTCTTTCACAGTTTGGTTCACAACCCTGTTGTTCCTATTTATTCTATATTTTTTTGTGTCCTCATTATCTTCTGTATAGCTTTTCATTTGCATTTCTTCATCTCTGCCCTCCAATCACTCTGAGTTATTCATTTGTTCTAGTGTTATATTAATTCCTACAAATTCTTATGTGTCCTTTGAACAGTGACCTTTATACTTTTGTTCTTATTTCATCAATACAGCTGTGTCTCTTCAGTTCTTCCTCTGTACATTTTGTTTCCACTGAGTTCTTTGTGTGTGTGTGTGTGTGTGTGTGTGTGTGTGTGTGTTTAATATTTTCTCCTACCTGGCAATATCATTAGATGTTCATATTATTAGAGAAGCACCTAGTTACTCACAGTTGCTATGTAAGTACAGTGTGTTTTGTTTTTTGTTTTTTGTTGTTGTTGTTGTTGTTGTTGTTGTTTTTTCTCTGTAGGGTGTCATGCTTCATCACTTCTTTGTTGATGCCATGTTAGCAGTTTCTTCTTGGGTTGTTCTGGTTCTCAAATGATGATTCATCAAGTATCCTATAATGAGGGAAGAGAACCCGGCATCTCTAGAACAAATATGTAACTTTTTTTCTTTCTCAAGTTTGCTTATTGTCTTCTGCCCTTATACCTACTGTTTTAGTTTCTCTATACAAATCTATAGTCAAATTGTGGCAGGATCAATTGAGAATGAGGACATTGGAGTATTTATTTCTCCACAGATCTTCACCAATTTATTACATTTTACTTAAAATCTCATGGGAATTCTTATTTTAAAATTGGACTTGGAATTTTAGGAGGTATTGGATTAGATACATAAATATCTTCAACAATCTGTCTTGTGAATTTTTATTCTATGTTCCTTGTTGCAATGGAGCTTCACTTCAAAGCATTATCATTATGTCAAGCACTGTAAGAAGGAAGCAAGGTGCAAATCACTGTGTCTAATTGGAAGCATCATCAGCAGGAATGTTTGGAATGGGATCAGTGTTGACAGCTGAGACTGGAGAAAGAAGACATGCCCAGAATACTCTTTCCTTTGACTTCTGCAGTCCGAGTTTGACCAACTATAGATAACCAGAAACAAGAGATATTAACGGATCAGGGTACAAAATAAACTGACAGGACAGGCAGCTCCATGACTTGTTGCTATTATTTTTGGCAGAGACTTCAGAGATTTGAATTCAGCTTATTTGAACTCATAGATGAACTATGTTAAGTCCATGTTCACATGCTTTGGAAAGGTGGGGATATTAGAAATCCTAAATATTTAATAGACTGTATGCACACATAGTTTTAGATGACAGAGGAAGAATGGCTAAATCAGGTAAGAGTCAAATGCATATTTGATCCTTAAGGAGCAAGTACCAAAGGGTTTGGTACAGAAACTGTCATCATCAGTAAAGCAGATAAAAGTGTGAGAAAACAACAACAGTATTAACTGAAACGTTTTTCCAGGTGTGGAGTGTATATCAGGGTTGAAAAATTTTCATTCTTTTCTAAGTCCTATAATTTGATATTAATTTATTATATAACCACTTTTGGGGCATTAACTATTTACAACTCAATGCTGTATGAAAATGTATGGGCAGGACACATTCATCCACTATGACTGAAATTTGTGGCATTCCTGATACTTCAATTTATCTCTCAGTTTAACATTGTAACCACCCAAACAAGGCTGCTACTAATGTATTAGGTATGCTTTTCAGAGTAAACCTAAGCCAAATAAAGTTCACTGCTTTTGGCATCTGCTTGTGATGAAATTTTATTTTTTCAAATATAGTTTCCTGTGGAGTAATTCTACCCATTGTGAGCTTCACAATATAGCTTTAGTTCTTGTGGTTTAATCTTCCTGATTATGTGATATCACAAGGTAAGCCAGCCATATAGTGTGTGTGTGTGTGTGTGTGTGTGTGTGTGTGTGTGTGTAGGATAATTTACATTTGGTTCCTTCTAAAATATCATCTAGTAATGAGATCCAGTTATGATCTAAACTGATGTGAAGTACTGACTATTGTTTTCCTTAGTCTATATGTTCACTGCATCTTTAAAAAGCTGTTTTATTCAGTAGAAAAATAATGCATTCATGGTAGATCACTGTAGCCCTAGTATTAAGTACTTGGGTATGCATTGGAGGGCATTCCACATTCCTAGAGTTTAAAAGGTCTCAAGCCTTCCTGGTAATGATAAATGATACTGTAATGTGTAAAGGGACAAAGAAAATATAGCCTTGTACTTAGAAAGACTATAATGTTAAATGAAGAGGTACATGGAGATCTCTGTAAAACATTTCATGGTCCATATTTGTATGATAGTGTTTTGTATTGACTTTGTCTGAAAATTCTAGAACCCTCTTTGAAGTCAGTGAGGAGACAAGCCCTGTGAAACTCAGTCAGAACCCACCCTATATCTTGCCCAGGGCATGTTCTGTGTTCTATTGAATTTTCTTCCTTGTCATCTGTTTCTTTCCCCCAACTACATTTATGCTGGAACATTCCATATTAAATGGCTAATACCATGTAAGGACTGAGATATAGAAGGAGCAATAATGAAGAATAAGTACTAGCTAGCAAATAATTAGTTTTCAGCTAATTAAATGTTAAAATTAGTGCCCCTAGATTTAATAAGGAGGCTTTGAGTACCTTTTAATGAATTTTAATGCATTTCATTCCTCTCTCCATAGTGCAGTGTTAACTCTTTCCATATAACTCTGATATCTTCCCACAGAGAAAATACAGGAAATGAAGAACAGGATTATATTATCTCCATAGATATAGATGCTATTCAGAAGACAATTACAAGAACAGTGAAGTTACAAATTAAATACCTTCATTTTCTTCATAGCACGGAAAAGGAAGAGAGACAGCAACAACAAGGACAAGACTTGTCATTTTGAAAGTAACGGTCTCATGACTGGGAAAAGTTTAAAGATGAGCAAAGGCAAGATGACAGCTTTTATAAAAAGAAAACCAGGGCTTGAATTAGAGTGTTACGTTTATAGATGATCTTCCAGCAAGATCTGTGGCAGGTATTATTCATTGCAGGAAACCGGAAGGTATAATATGCTGGAATAAGGATCACATTTTCCTCTTTGAGGTGATTTATATTTAAATGAGTTCTCTCTAATCCTTTAAACTGAAGTGCAAATTGGTTATCAAAGTCTTTTGCTGTAAGGGTTGCTTTACATAATAATGAATTCTACAGAAGTTCCTCAAAGGAAATATTGACTTAGGCAACATCACAGAGTATTTCGGTTACAGCGATACTTTAGATTATGGTCACAGACAGTGCATCAAAACTTTCTAAAACTCTAAACTTCTTTACTGAGAAGTATAGGCAGTGTAGCTTTTCTTGGTATGAAATGCATGCTGTTGAAAATTTCAGGAAAAGTTGTTCAATTTAATCTATCATGTCTTTTTCATACTAACATGCTGGGGAGAGTTACTGACTCATTTTTAATTGTGTGTGTGTGTGTGTGTGTGTGTGTGTGTGTGTGTGTGTGTGTGTGTTAAATAACCTTATTCTGAAGAACATAAGATTAAAAATGTTCCTTAGCTCAGCTAGGAGGTGGCACCAGTTCTGGTAGAGAGTCTACTGGCAGGGAACCAATTGCTTGCTTTAGTTTAAGAACCATAGGTTCCAGGGAGGAGGCATTTTATTTTCAAAACAGGAGCCTCAGCCATAACTCTAGTCCCCAGCAGTACTCACTATCTAAGAGAGAGGGGGGGAGAGAAAGAGGAGAGAGAGAGAGAGAGAGAGAGAGAGAGAGAGAGAGAGAGAGAGAGAGAGAGAGAGAGAGAGAGAGAGAGAGAAGGCTAGCAGCCTTACTTCAGGGAAGCCAGTAATGCAGACATGAAGGAAACCTGAGACCCGATCTTAATACCCAGGTATGTCACAAACCACACTTTTGGCTGTAGAAATAATTTTACACCTGAGAACTGTGGTGTGCACTCTGTGAAAGGCACTTGGATTAGATAATAACTTTTCCAAATTATATTGCTCATCTGCTTGATTGTTTTAAGAAGTGAAATTCCTAGTAAGTTAAGTTCTGTTTGAATTTCAGTACCAAACACACACAAGCAAATTTATTTACACAACCCTTGGAGCAAAGGCTAGGTTTGGAAATGACACACATTTTATATGCCTAATGTGTCTCCTTTTAATCTTCTTGTAGCTCTACAGAAGTCTGTGAGCTACCTAACACCTTCAAATGTGGACCAGCCTTGAGTTCATCCCAATTCTCATTTTATGTGAGCATAAAACATTATACAAGAAAAAGTATAATATCTGTGTTAGACTGTGGCTAGGAACCATGATCACAATCCAGAAAGAGTCCACTGAGTGATAAAGGATTATCAAATAATTTGGCCTGTGGTTGTCAGGGACCTGCTGCATCCTTCCAGGTTTCTGTACTTGGGTAAAGACATTTCACAATATAACAGGAAAGACAGAACATGGGCTCTGTAATAACTGTCTTTAGAATTTTTTGAATTTTATTGTGGTTAATTTAATGAGATGTGAATATTATGCTATCCTGATAATAGTATCCATTGCTTGCTTTTATTATCTTACAAATTACTTAATATAAGATAGAAAGTTTCAATTGTGATTCAACTACTATTGCTTGTTACATCACAATACTATCCTTTTCAAACCTTAATCTTAGAAATATTTGTTCATGGTTTTCCAAGCAGCCCCATTCTATCAGTGCAACAAGAGGAGTTGTTGGTTGTGACTCAGCTGGAGTCTCTTTGGCCTGCATTCTATGACTGATGATGTTGGGTTAATTCCAACCTATCTATGACAATAATTTTTTTCCACTTACCTGCCTCTGCCTTCTGCTGCTTCTCAATCTTCTCCAGGCGCCCTAGCAAGGAGTCAATTTTAGTTTTGATCTGGGTTAATTCTTTCTTGATTGTCTGTAACTCATCTGATTTCACTAGAAGGGAAAAAGTAGAAAGAAAAGAAGACATCAAATGGATGACTTAGAACACAATTTATGACATAGCGCTTCTCAAGATTGTCTTATAAGATTCCCAGTGAATCCTCATCTTCCTGGTACTACAGATAGTCATCCTGAAACTGTGCATGTCTTTGCTCATTGGAAATAAGCACTTTTACTGACATGAAAATCAGGTATTCAATCTTGTAACTAAAAGTAACATGAAAGACTAAAAGAACCCGAAAAGATTTTCAACAGAATGATGCCAGGCCTTGACTTACTTACTCAGGGAAACAAGAGAATAACCCTCACTGTAAAACTGATTTAGATTAAGGGATAGTGTTACCTGTGTTAATAATACTTTGAATCACATTGTTGTTATATACATGTTCTATGTTTTGGTTTTGTGACAGGGTCTCAATAAGTAGTTCGCAATAAACAAAATACTCCTGCACAGCCCACCACTCATAACTAGACATCAGTGATATATTTTCAGTGGTGTTTTCGAGCCAGTTCTTTGAAGATTGACTGAAACAAAACATAACATTTAGTCTTGAGAGAATAAAATATTGCCTGAGCTCTTCCTAAAAGTAAAACAATAAAGTGTGCATACCCATCCTTAAGTCATGGGGCAGGTAGAAAGGAAGCACATAGGCAGTCTCCCTGATTCTTACATAATTTTAATTTGTGATTTATTTATTTATATATTTTGCGATAACTTATCACTATGTTGCTCAAGCACTATGTCCTTGAACTCACCACCCTTCTGCCTCAGCCTCCTGAGTGCAAGAACTACAGGCATACTACCATCATATATCACCTCACTGGTATATGTGTAGCAATTTGTTCCAATTCTAGTTCTTCAATATTTAATGTGATCTCTAATGAGAAAATGGAGGCTGATACAAACAGCAACTTTTCATTTTGTTAAGTAGTTAGTGTTGCTAAAATCAACAAATATGGGTTGGAGATTTAGCACATTGGTTGAGTGATTGCCTACCAAGAAAATGACCCCAGGTTTGGTCTAGAATTGGAGAAAAAAAGTGAAAAAACAGGTGTGGAAGACAACACATTTAAGGGACTTAAGGAAAGGACAATATCATATTTAAATAATAATTGTTTATCTAAGGGGGAAGATTTGGGAAATGCCATGTACTGAACATGACAGAACTTGTGCAATCATGCTCTCAAAGACACTACACTTGCCTGCATTCAGCCTACATGAGACCGGGTCTGCCAACAATCAATCAGGGATTGGGAAGGACCCTACTCTTGCCTGGTGAGTTATGAACTACTAAAAGAGGGAGTCATTGTTCTCAGTTCTGTACCCACTCATGAAGTATACACAGAAAATCCATGGTTACACAAACCTCCCTGGTTAAATGCAATGGCCTGCTGAACGAAACCAACCAGCATGAATGTATAAAGAGATGAAGGGATGAGAGGAGGTTATTGGGGTGGGGAGAAAAGCAAAGGATATGAATGTGAGAAAGAGACAGAGGGAAGGGAGGAGGCTAATGGAAGTGGGAGAAAGAGAAGATGGAGAACGAGAGTGAACATGGTTAAAGAATAATTTTAATAGAAATCATATAAAAGTTAAGGGTTTACAATATTGTAACTTTTGTGAGAACCTGGATACATGACTTTATTTTGCTCATCTGAAAACCACAAGTGGTTTTGTCATGGGTCCACAACAGACTCTCCAGTCCCTGAGCTTCATTAGGGATGCTTTGGGTACCAGCCCTGAGGGCAGAGATGTGCTGCCTATCTAGGAAACCCACATCTTTTTTGTCATTTTCATTTATGTTTATAACCATATCAGCTTAGTTAGTATCCAGATATTCAGAAGAAATAACTGCTGTTTGACTTTTTTAGTCTTCAAACTTTGAAAAAGTGATAAGATAAAATGAAATCTGTTTAAGTTTACATATACGTTAATTAAAATATCTGAAATAATATACTATTCATAATATAATTAGGTCTCAAAAGATAGAAAGAATTTTTATTTTCCTGGCCAAAAAAAGACCTTTCTCATTATTAAATCAAATTAAGGTAATTATATTTGAAAAAAATAAAATTCTTTCTTTCTAGTGCAAAGTACTCTATTAGATTAAAAATGGCAGGAAACCAGAGTCCCCTGCAATTCTGGGAATATTGTCCAAATAAAAGGATAACACACTTAAAACAGTGACTCTCTCTGGATGTCAATTATTCCAGACATCAAAGAACCATTGCTGAATTGCTGCTAAATTTGAGAAACATTATCTATCACTATGAGAAATGGATTCTGCTTTGAAGAATGATACTCATTTCCTTTGGTGGAGGCATAACATGTAGTTTTACTTAAACCTATCAGATTTAATAGAAAATAATTCATCTGATAACTGGTTTCAATGATGTAAAATGTAACTGTGTCTAGAAACTAATAGAAACTAGTTCTCAGTGAATAAGTCAATCGTTAGCTATAGCCAATTAATTTACATTTATTCATCATATAAAAACATAAATTGATGTATCACCAACATCTCACATTATTAAAGCTGAGTTAGAATGCACCTAAAAAAAGAAATTGGGGTTTACATGATAGGAACCTGTAATTGTCCAGGGAGCCAAAGTTTGAGGTTTAAACTACAGCAGTATTTTGTAAGACCAGAGAAGGAATGTATTAATATTCTAGTCTAATTATCATTACTGAAGCTTACAAGGAAATATATAAAGTCTTGCTTTCTCCCAAGGTGCAACCATGTAATAATGAAATGAGCCTCTGGCCTTGCACAATCTGCCTGGATGACTTTCTGACAAGGGTTCTAAGAGCAGGCTGGGCTAACAGAACTATCTTCCTCTCACAGAGTCATGGAAACCAATTGCTCATCTCAGTGCTCTGTGGGGAAGAAGTTCTGTCCATGACCAGGCAGTGAGTTACAGCCCAATGTCTACTGTTCTTTATCATAGTCAATGTCTGCATTCAGATGGTTCTGGTTTTGTGCTCACATGGCTTCTTCCTAGAGGAAAGCCCCCCCCCGAGGGTGGTGCACCTCTTCTTGTACTGTTGCTCTAACTTATGTCTCTCCCTTACTGTCTACAGATTTCCTCTCTGTTAACATTTTCTCGGCAACATATTTAACCACTCTATAATGTTAGTTAATTCATTCAAGCAGGCACTCCTTTTCTACTCTGTATGTCTAGAATTTTAGAAGTTGGCAATGTTGCTAATTATGTTCTTTTTCAAAAACTGCATGTTAGGTAAATAACACTGCTGTAGGTCTAATATATCTGCCTCCACTTTCATTCCCTCTTATTTAGCCACTGCTTTCCACTTACCTAGACTTGTGAAGACATTTCTTAAAGCAATATATATATATATATATATATATATATATATATATATATATATCATTAGCCTTGTACTTAACTGAAGATTTCCAGAGTCTCTTTCTTTTCTATAGCAAGAAAGATAAGTAAGACAATCCTGAACAATGTTATTATACAACCTTAAATGTCTTCCATATGATTCGAGTTTTGAATGCTTATGATGCAGCTGGTGGCAGTATTTTGGCAGGCTTCTTAACCTTTAGGAGATGAGGTGTGACTGATAGAAATGAGTCCCTGGGGATGGCCTCTATGGGTATGTTTGCTTTGTCCATATCCTGTCATGACCTCTTGTTTCTTGGTCCTCTATGGCTTGAGAAGTTCTTCTCTGCCCTATGCTCACATACCATGATGCTCTCCTCAATACGTGGTACCAAATCATGCCGACCATGAAGAATCCTCTGAAACTCCGAGTGAAAATCAATCTTCCATGCTTTAAGTCGTTGCTTTGATATTGCCACAGTACATGAAAGTAATTAATGTATAAAGACAATGCTCTAAAATGATATCTAGGATCCTCCGGAAGTATATTGTTACCTTTTATTCTAATATTTAATAGAATAACTTCCTGTTAAAAATGAATTTGCTTCAAATCTGTGCACCTTGGGGACATGAAAGTTCTCCACCTGTGTAATACCATTGTCTACTTTAGAGGGAAAGGCACAATTATTTAGTACCATGTTCAGAGCATCAATAGAACCAATGAGTGGTAAAGGAAGGGCTTACTATGGTTCTTGCTGTTATTACACTATATTATTGTGTAAACATGTTTCTTTAATCAAAGACGTTTCCGTTTCCAAATGTGTGTCTCAAAATCTAACCAAGCTTCTAGGGTTTAGACTTGTTTGCATATGAATTTCTCTTTACAAACCCACTGAAGGTTGGGGTTCTCACCTGTAATCTATTTAATAGTACCTCACATTTACTGCTACACTTTCACTGATTGTTGATTTTTCTTTTGCATGTCTGTATTTCATAATAAATGACCTGTTTCTTCAGTGAATACCTCTTGATTAGGCACTCAGCAGCCCCAATTTTTAGTATTTTCTGCATGTTTTGATAGTTTTCCTCATCATTTTACTGATTGCTCAGGTTCCTTACTTGAAGATTTAGGGATTGAATCAGTCCTGTTTATTTAAAAATGATTTTAACAGCTAAAAAAGAGGTGTTAAATCAGGTAAACAGTAGAATAATTTGTGTTTTGTCATAATAAGTCACTTAGAGGTAGATTTTGGGACAGCTGTGGGACACAGGGTAAATTAAGAAATACACCCATCCTGACCACCTAAGGAAGGCCTCACCCTCCCTGGGAAGCAGAAAGGGGATGGGATGGGAGCAATGGGGGGCATGGGGGGCATGGGAGGATGGGAGGGAGACGGAACTGGGATTGATTGTTTCTAATCTAAATAAAAAAGAAATATACCCATCCTAAGGCTCTATGAATAAAGTCATTCTGTGCAAAGAATGCCTTCTAGTCTTTCATTTTGTGTTATCCCATTAGCAATAGAACATTGCTCAGTGAGTGTCTGGACACAATAAACAATAAATACTAGAAAATTTGCAATATGCATATATGTGGCTGTAGTGACTTCATGGTAGTTTTAACCAGGCTAACACACCTTATTTTC